TTTTGTGTTTGGTATCTAACTATAGGAAAATTGTGAGATGAATATTACCACAGCATCTCACTGTTTCGACTACACCACACGTTAAAATCTTGAATATTTACAGGTTTTCCATTCTTAATTAATAAATCAAACGTGGGAAATTGTTAATACTCGACGAAATCAAGCGACTGCCTTCGTTCACTTTCGACAAAGTAGTTTAATCTTGAAAGGTGGTGTTTAGTATCTAGTTGTTGCATACAGTTTAGATTTAACGCAAGGCCATTGCGTTACTTACAATCGCTAGAGTTTTTCTACTTTACAAACCGAGTTCAAAGTCTTGAAAATTAATTCAGCTTATGCAGAAAAGAAGCGATTAAAAGTAGGGATAGTAATCAGAGCGATCAAACTCCCGAAATGATGTGTTAGTTAAGAAATAATCACGACATACCTCAAAATGACTGACAGCCACACCACTCGCTCGTCAGGCGTTCGCTGTGCTATTTTCTCAGATACGTTCCGCAACAAGAATACAGTCACGACCAACTGAGGCCTCGTCGAGACTATGCCGCAGTCTTTGGACGATTAGCCCTCTGTCTCTGGACTATTAGCCCCCAACCCACCATCCTTCAAATAAACTATGCTCTTGCTGTTTACTTTACGAACGTTTCCCTATCATGTATTTTGAAATAAACAATGTTCTTGTTATTTGCTTCTTACGAACGTTTCTCTACCGTGCGTGTCGAAATATAAAGTATATTATACAGAAGTGAACTGTGTTCCTTCTGTTTACATATTGGAAAAAGGAAATACAAATCTCAAAAATTGTTGTATTGAGATGAAAACATAAAACAATTTTGAGGAATGCGCCCACTGTTCACTGCTTTGGATTAGTTATAACTCAAGCTGACTTGACTCTTAGAGTTCTACATCACACGACGGTTGATTGACAAATGGTCCAGAGGTACCTAAGGCACCTCTCCTTTTATAGCGCGCCTTCGTTTTTAAATAGGAAAGGAAAGAAACAAGGAACGAAACTTCGAAACTTTAAGTTATTGGTGACTACTTGTTAATGTCAATGAGGGTTTATTTCAAGCTCGCCACGCGCACTGTGCGAACTTTTACTAATTATTATTTATTTGTTTATTGAAAACCCATACACAATGTGCGAACGTTTACTCATTGGTGTCTACTTATTTCAAACCCATGCGCAAGGTGTGAACTTTTATTCATTGTTTATTTCAAAGCCACGCAAAATGCACGAACTTTTAGTAATTGTTATTTCATTGTTTATTTCAAACCCACGCGCAATTTGCAAACTTATGTAAATTTGACGTGGGACATTTCATTCATCCCATTTCAGTGCTCATTGTTTTCTTAAATTAACGACTCCTCCAATCAAATGCCGTGTTTCGTTCGAAGTCAGTTTCTTGATCCTAGGGATGTGAATAAAAGGGTCCTTCAATTGTGGATACTCGTATTAGCTTATTCAGCAACAACAAATCGCGATCTTCAATACGATGTCTTCCATCTATCTTACCATGTGTATCTCCTGTAAAAAACAAGTTCGACCTCGTCAAGAGGGCCTCCAGTGCGGTGGCTGCCTCTGTTGGTAACACCGCACCTGCCATACGGGTGCGTTGCCGGCAGATTACCGCAACGCTGCTAAAACCGGTGCCTCTATCGACTGGTGCTTCTTAACATGTGACTTTCCTCAGGCTGAAAGCACCGCTCTAAGTGAAAATTTAAGTGAAATCTCAGCATCTGCCAATCTTCACGCTGATTTTGACCCAGAGGAAACTACCGATCAAGGTAATTTTTCGTCAACTTTTACTCGTAACTGTGTTATCAAACTTCTCTAATTTTATAGTTAAATGTAATAGTTGATAATCTGGTTAAAAATCATCATGACAGAGGCTAATCTGACTAATATTGTTCAATGTCAATCCTGTCAAAAGATATCCTTGAGTCCGAAGAGTTCAACCCTCCAGCAGACTCGTTTGACCAGCTTACCGAGCCTGCGACCATTGAGACGAGTTCAGAATCCGCCATCGGCATAGAAGGATCAACAGTGCATGAACCTCCAATCCAGCCGACAATTGACGAATCCACACTCGAGTGACCAATACCCCAAGCAGTTGAGCAAGTAGACCAGCCACTGACTTTTCAGATTATGGAGAGTGCCAGCGAGAGGGGAAAGCGAAAGCTTATTGAAAGCTGCGGGTTCAGCTATAATGTCAAGAGGCAGCGCCTTGATCGAAGCAACCGACTGGCAATGCAGTGTTCGTCCAACGGTAAGAATTCTTTTTTTTTTTTTTTGTCATAATAATTTGATCTCATAAACAAGGTGCAGTTAGAAATCCATTGATAAATACTTGAGATTTTACTTATTTGAGAGTGGGCGTTTATTAGCGATAGATCGTTAGTAGAATTAATCAGTGGAATTAATTTTTTAGGGAAACCGCTGCAAAGCCACCGTTGTACAAAGACCAGGCAACTTGTTTGAGTTTGGCCGAAACCTCCACAACCATGCTGCACCAGTCGGTGGAATGGTAGCTGTCAAAATCAAGTCCTTGATTAAGGAGGAAGCCAAACAAGACGTCTTCAGACCTGCCTCGGAGGTTGTCAACGACTTGCTCCTCAGAGAACTGACAGATGCTCCTTGTACCAGCCTTCCCTGTGTTGATAGTCTGCAGAGAACCGCTAACGGCACCCGCCAGCAGTTACGACCACAAGACCCGAGGGACTTAGACTTCGACTTACAAATGGAGCATATCCCAGATGGCTTCTTCCGTGAAGATGTTAAGGTAAGAATATGACCGTGATAACATTCCTGAACTGAGTTCAGGAATGTTTTCATTCGTTTTAGAGAGAGAACTTTCAAGCAATTAATGGTTTCTTGGTTTCTATAATCGCTTACAAATTTCTTTAACGAAACTTGGAAAATTGTGCATTTTCTAGTCGATTAATAACAAAATGTCATATTGTGTGTTTCAGATACGAGGGCGCCGTCACCTGGTATTTGCTTCTGATAAACAGCTGGAACTGCTCCAACAGTCTAAGACGTGGTACATAGACGGAACTTTTGCACTTTGCCGCCAGCCGTTTACTCAGCTCCTGACCCCAAACGCCTTTGTAAAGAACGATGATCACGTGAAGCAGGTGATACATTTTATCTTTCGTTTTATTATGTTACTTTTGTTGGCGTCCATGTGAAATAACGGTACGCCCGGGTACTTTTTAAGTATATGGGCGTACCCCTCATAGCTAAGTGTTAGGTAAGTCTTTGTCAAGTAAAAAAACTATGTCTCTGTTGATGTCCATGTCAGGTGCCTTTGGTTTTCGTCATAATGTCTGGCAAAAAACGGCTAGATTACAAAGCGGTCCTCGATGCTGTAACATCCATCCTCCCTTCTCCCCCGAGAGTCACCAAGGTAAAGCTAGACTTCGAAAAAGCTCTTTGGAGTGCACTCCGCCAGACCCTCCCATGCGGTCAGCTTAAAGGGTGTTCATTCCACTGGACACAAGCCCTCTGGAGAAAGGTAGGATCTCAAACTGTTAAATCCTTGATTGGTCAAACAAATCGGTAATGATTCACTTTATTCAAGCTATAGTTAGAAGTGTTTAAAGGGTTCACTAGGACGACAGATAAAGCAAATAGAAATGAAATTCTTGCAATGTTCAAAAAGAAACTAGTTTAACATCTAACTAACAAAATATTAAATTTCGCTTTTCTCCTATAGGTACAAGGGCTTGAACTCCAGGATGCTTACAGAAATGACCGTGGCACCCACCAGCTAATAAAGCAACTGATGGCTTTATTGTACCTCCCTGCTGACAAGATCGAACGCAGATTCCGTCGACTCCAGCAGCAAGCAACTGTCAGACCCTTGCAGGAATTCTGCAGTTACGTAGATGAAAACTGGATAACCAGTCAGACCTTCCCGCCACAGACCTGGAGCGTGTTCCTGGAAGCGGTCAGAACGAATAACGACCTAGAGGGTTGGCACAATGGCCTTAACCGGCGCGCCAAAGGACGATCACAGCTCCCCCTGTACATCCTGATCCAGGTACTTCACCGGGAAGCTACATTAGCCAACATACAGATCCGTCTGGTTTCAGACAAAAAGCTGAAGAGACATCAGCGGTCAACCTACCGAACAATCCTGAGAAGACTCTTCGACCTCTGGATTCAATATCAAGACGGCCAAAGGAACTCAAAAGAACTTCCGGAGGCCTGTGCTCACCTCGTGCAACCCATGTAAATTAAATTAAGTAAAAATTAAGTACATTTTAATAAAGATAACAATTCACGAAAAAAATACCTCCTTTAGGAGCCACAAACTCATAAAAGTCAAAACGTAACTTCTCCTTTACATTAACTAAGGCTGGGGGCTAATCGTACAAAGACTGGGGGCAATCGTCCAAATACTGGGGGCTAATCGTCCAAAGACTGGGGGCTAATCGTCTGGGGCTAATTGTCCAGGGGGGCGAGTTGTCTTTAAACCATTCAGACAACTCTCACAAGTTTACGTGCGTCGAAGCGCCACGCTATCGAGTTCCGAGAATTTTACAATGTGATCCTCTGGGGGATCCCCAGAGGTAATCAACTTTATTTATTTTTCGTGTATAAAATACTGATAAACTCGTGGCCCTCTAAAACAAATTAAAAACAAGACGATCTTAGATCGTAAGTCGGGCTACGGGAACACATGCTGTTATGATTGTTGACCATTCAAGGTGCGCAGTGGTTCTAAAAAGAAATATTAAGAGGTACCAAGGTCCTAGTTGGTGGGCGTGGCGTAAAAATTTTTCCACCCCCAAGAGACACCGATTCTAGAACAACACACTGTCACATATTTTTGGCGTAATACTAAAATGTGTCAGAGAAGCTGCTGTTGTGGAGCTCTTGAGGCTGAACAGCCCAAGAATTCTTTGAGGCAGACATTAATAGTTGGGATTGTCTCACTCTCATGCTGTTCTCTAACTCTGAATTTGATTTTGTTTAAAGAACTTACCTGTTGCAGTCTTTTCTTTTTTGGAGCGGGCACCAAATTGTCATAATTATATTTTCGTTTTGCTTTTGCATAGTGTGTTTTATTTGATGAAGGTCCATGTTAGATGTACAAGAAAAAAATTGCATTTCGTAGTGAACAATATCTGTTTTAAGTTCTTTGTAACAATGTTAGAAATAACTCGTAGTAATGATGGTATACCACTTATTTTTATTTGTTGTATTGCAGGTTCACAAGTATCTTCATAGATCAATAAGGAGAACATGTGCTTTGCTCTGACTGTTTGTTGAAAAATACAAGTAATTCAGTAACTTGCAAGCCACAATGTATTTCCACTACAGTTGATGAAAATTAAGTTTTCCCAATTTGTTTTTTGTATTGTTCGAACTACTGGATAACATCCCATAGCTTTGAGCATTAAGTTGGACTGAGATCTCAACTCCACAAATATCAAGACTTGTGTATAAATCTGCCCTTTTTAGAAGCCTGTTGATGCCCATGTTATGATAGAATTCATTTGCTTGGTCAGCTATGCAACATAGGGTTCTGGAATTCCAATAATTACAAGACTTTGCTGCTGAGTAACATTGCATAGAGCTCCACGACAGAGCATTGTTTATAAGGGCAGTTGTGTTCTTCTCTCAAACTGTTCACTGCATTTATTTCACATGTACTAATCTGCACTCCTCTGAGTTCATAATTGTCATTTGGAGTGTATAGTCTGCAGGGAAATACTGTACTAAGCCCTGAATAGATGGTACTTTCAATGGTACACATGTACCTGAGGGATGGCTTGTACCATATTTGTCTCTTGCATGAGAATAGTAAAGTTAAACGAGGCTTACCTGTAAGTTGAAGTTTGATTGAGATTCTACCGAGTTATAAAGTGCTGGGAGATTACATGAGATAGCAAGCGCATGCGCTAACTCAGTCTTTAAAAGCTTAATGTGAGTGGTTCAAGGCACCACACTACACTAGNAGGGCATGTAATCTCCCAGCACTTTATAACTCAGTAGAATCTCAATCAAACTTCAACTTACAGGTAAGTCTCGTTTAATTTTACTATTCCACGTCGTTCTCGTGCTATAAGATCACATGAGATTTTTAAGCAACACGAACATTAAACATTGTCATGGCTAAACTTTTATTTTACACGTGTGTTACTTCACAGTGCTGAGTACCCTGTCAGCAAACATGTTCTCTTTAACAATAGGTTTTTTGTAATACTTAGCAAATGTTGATTCAGAGCACCACCCAGCCGTGTGCAGAATGTCGTCAAGACTTACTGAGGCATTGTTGGTTGCAGATGTACTGGCAGCCTGTGTGCTGTGTGATTTAAATCTGGAAGTGTCAATTCCAGAGTCAGTGAGAACAGTCTTCACCCACCGGCTTATAGTATTTCTACTAACTTTCCTGAAAGGTTTTTGATAGCCAACAAACAATTGGCGTTCTGAGCCTCTTAAGTTTTGTGTTCTTGTTAAGTACTCTTTCAACATAGATAAAACCCACAGCGTTTTATCTTCAAAAGCTGTAAGTTTAACAAGTGGGTTGTTAACTCCTGGTCCGCTTTGCTTCAGGTATCCCACAAGCTGGAAGGTGTAGCAATTATTTGAAAAAAACATGCGGTCAATATTCAATATATGTACTGTCTGACCTCTTTGGCCAGAAACCAATAAAATTAACACAAGGAGTTTCAGTGTCAGTTCCTTTAATAAAAATGTGTCCACAGGGGATAGAGACTGGAGATATTCCAGGACAATAGACACATCCTAAATTTCCGTGTACTTTGGTCTTGGAGGTTTTTCCTGAAATATGCCTTTCATCGGCCTGGACACTAATGGGTGTTTTCCTACACAAGTCCCTTCCTCTAAAGTAACATAGCTAGACTAAGCACTTCTGGCAGTGTTGATGCCATTGTGTGTAAGGCCTTGTTGATATAGCACAGTGAGAAAATCAAGCACAGGCACTACAGATGGTTGAGTGTGATCGATTTGCCTCTGAACAGAAAAGTTTTGCCATTTCTTGATGTAGGTACTGTATTTTTTCTTTGTTCCATTTCGCCATGAAGCCATGATGAGCTTTGCAGCTGCTTGTGAAATCCCCTGATCCCGGATGGACTGCCAAATAGATCAATTTATGGGATGTCCCAATGGGTGGTTATTTGTGTAAAGATCTCCCTTTTTAAGGCCCATTCAGTGCGATCATTAAACAACCAGGACTCTTTGTCAGCCTCAGTATTTTCTACTCCAACTATGTGAGCTGCTGTTAACCGGGTGTTGTTATTTACACATCAATCCCATATGTCATATGCCACTTGATTGCAACTTAGAGATTTTGTTCCATCCATAGCATTAATATATGTTACAGCTGTTGAGTTGTCACAAAGTAGTTTGACATGCTTATTATATAGCCTTTCACCAAAAGCTTGCAAGGCAAAGTGGATTGCCTTCAATTCTAACTCATTTATGTGCAATTGGCTTTCTGTACCAGACCACTAGCCTTGGGTTGTATGACCATCAAGGCATGCACCCCAGCCCTTTTTTGACGCATCAGTTATAATCTCAATGACAGGATTTCTATGTGATATTGGATTAAAGGCCGTGTCTACATTTTCAATCCCCCAAGCAAGATCTTCTTTTGCACTTGGGGACAGGGATATGAGAGGCTCAAAGTTACCCTTATGCTCTCTGAGAGCTGAGTTCTTCTCTATTTCTAGGTTCCTATAATGAAGTTTCCCAAACTGTACCCCAGGTAAGCTGGAGACAAGTGTGCCAATTAATTGGGCTAGCTCAGTGATAGGGGTTTCATGTTTGTGTTGCATTGCTGTACAGTTAGCTTTTGCTTTAGCTTTTTTGTCATCAGTGAGGGTAATTGTCATTGACACAGAGTCAAGGACAAAACCTAAAAATATAATTCGCTGAGCTGGTGTGACAGATGATTTTTGCACATTAATCACAAACCCCAAACTAGAAAATAATGTCTGCGTATCAGAGATATTAAGCAGGCATTCATTTGTATCTCTACCCTGGAGGTACGAATCATCTATGTACCCCAAGTGACCTTTCTGTCTTAAGGTAGAGTACACTGGTTTCATCAACTTAGTAAAACACCAAACACCTTGGTGCAGATGAAAGCCCATTTGGCAGACATGTGCCACTGGTAGAGAAAACCCTTCCAGTAACATCTCAGATACTTACGATGTACCTTAGCAATGGGAACTAAGTAGTAGGCATCTTTTAGTTCGATTGATGCCATGAAACAGTTTGGAGTCATGAGTCGCACAGCAGACCACAGAGTATCCATTTTGAAATGGTGTTTCTCTATGTGCTTGTTAAGCCCCTTTAAATTCAAAATCATGCGTTATTGACCGCTTTTCTCTTTTTTTTCTGACAAATATAGTGGAAATGTATTCATCTGGAGTGTGTACAGCAGGCTCAATGACACCCAATTCAAGCAGGTGAGCAATTTCTGGGGTGTCTCGAAAACTAAGACCTAAGACCTAAGACCTAAAACCTCTCGAAAAGTAAGACCCCTCGAAAACTAAGACCCATCGAAAAACTTATATAGCCTTTCATCGAAAGCGATGAAAACCCATCGAAAAAAGAAGACGTCAAGGTGATCTTTACAACTTGGACACAGTTAACAGAGTGAACTATGACCCGGGAGCCGCAACAACTTGGGAGATCATGAATTTTACTTGGGGTGTTTACATGCAGGCTACCGAGCTGCAAAATTAAACGTTGGATATAGATAAGTAAACTTTTCGCTGCTAGATTGAGACTAGGTTTACACTAGAGGAGAGTTTTCAGGATTCGTAAATGTTTCCGGATTCATCAATTCTGGAGTATTCGGATTCGTAGGCATTTAAACTGAAAGGATATTCAGATTCCTGACCATTTAAACACAAAGACAACTCTGGGAACATTCGAAATGGAATGGTTACCAAGCCCAGTGTTGTTTCGTTGTTCGATTGATAAAGTGAAAATGCCTCCCCAAAAAAAGGCTAGAGTAGATCCAGATGCCACTGAGGCAAATTTGAGCTGGACAGATGCCAAGCCATCTACGTCATTGGGAATTAAGTGTGGCTGACATTAAACTTCCTTGCAATAATAATTTGCATTTCCTCAGAAATACTGCAGTACACATGATAAAATTTATCGCCTGAACCTGCAAGAAGATTAGGCAACTGGAGACTGCCAGCAATGTTAGCACCAGATGCTCCATTTTGATTTCAC